TTTTTTTAATAGTTTCAATTCCAGGGTACCTTATTTGTTGCTTTTGCTGTTTGACCCGGTCAACCAAAACTTTCTCTTCTTATCTTCCTCCTGCACATTCTTTTCCGGTCGAGTTCTTCTTAGTGGTGGCCATTTCTGACCACCGCTACAACCGCCTTTGGGAAAGGGAGTAATGGCCAGCTGGGGAGGAGAGATGTGGCTCTCCTCAACCGTGCAGGCAGTCTCCCCCCTCTTCACCACCTCTACGGGGTGGCTTAGCCCCGAAACCATGTGGCTTGGGGCGCTCCAGCGGCGAGCACAGATCGAAGCCTCGCAGAGACGAGGTTTAGGTCTGTCGCCGAAGAAGCTCAAACCAGAAGTCCCCAGAGTTCTTGGCTTTTTAAAGTCTTTGTTTTTTTTCCCAAGGAAAAAAACACGTTTTTTTCCCCCTCTCCGTTGATTTGTTTACCCTTCTCTTGGGATGGCTCTGTGTGCCGTTCAAAGTTACAATGGCTCTGAAAAAAGTGAAATATAACCGTTTTTCCACACTTATGACCATTGTAGCATCCCCATGGTGACCTGATTTACACCTGGATGTATGACATCTTAATGTGATTCATTTAATTCATATTGCGGCATATTCAGTGATCCCATTTTGCGATCTTCTAAGAAGCAAAGTCAGTGGGCAAACCAGATTCCTTTAACCATTGTGTGACTAACTTAACCACTGAAGTGATTCACTTAATAACTATGACAAAAAAATATCATAACATGGGGCAAAAGTCACTTAAGAAAGGTATCACTGAGCAACATAATTTTGGGGCTCAGTTGTGGCCATAAGTTGAGGATTATACCCAGGGATGGGATTCTACCTGGCTGGACCGATAGAACCAGTTGTTATGATTCTGTGCAGTTCGGAGAACTGGCAAATTGCACCACTGGCTGGCCCTGCCCCTCCCTGCCCCACCCACTCCCTCCTTACCTGGCATGTGTGCCATCCAACTTGCCTGCGTTTGATAAGTTGCTATTGCTTTGATAAGTTGCTATGCACCTTTTTCCCCCCCCCCCAACCATCAGCTGTTCTGCTGTGCCGGGAGGTTTAGATTAGCTAGAGAGTAGGAAACCGTTGGATTTCTTGCTTTCTAGCTAATCTAAAAGCAGAGCTGAAGCTTCCTTAGGACTGAAGCTTCTATTTTTCAGTGCAGACTCAGGTAGCAGATTGCAGAAAGGTAGATCTCTGAGTGAATCTGTGATTCTGCGAGCGACTCAATCTGCCTGCCTGCTCTGCCTGGTTTTGGGTAAAAGTTGCTCTTTTTTTAAAATAAAAAATTCAGTATTTACATAAATATTTACATACAAGCCACACCCAGTCAGTCATGTGACCACCAAGCCACACCCAGTCAGTCACATGACCACCAAGCCATACCCACAAATTAGGCCACGCCTACAGAACTGGTTGTTAAGAAATTTGAATCCCACCCCTGATTATACCTGTACCATGTATTCTTACTTAAACCATCAATTTGGCTTGTGAGCTGGGTTACTATTATGGGATAGGTGCCAAGTTCAACTGGAGCTGATGAGTTAATTTGGAGTCAATGCCCCCTTAGCTGATTTCCCTTCTGTAATCCACTCTTTTAAATGCAGGATGGTATTGAGAAATCTCAATGCTTATTGTGAGCTCAAACTCTTCCCTTAATATTCTTCACAGTATCATTTGTACTAGAAATCTTAAGGGCACCAATTCACCTGTTTTGAACTGTACATCCAGGAATGAGCAGTATAAGGGGGAAAACCGACTTCATTTTTCAAACACACAACATCATCATAAAGCTGTTTTCCTTCAAATTTCCTTCTTGGTCCATTGTCAAAATAAGTACCGTAAATGCATCTTTGGATCCATTTGAACCAACCACCAATAATTAACTCCTTTCCTTTCTCCTCTTCTTAAAGCAGACTGGTTGATTCTAAGAATGTTCCTCTTTTCTCCTGGGTGGGCAATCTATATTTTTATTCATTTTACAATTCTTAAAGCCTGCCTCACTTTCCAAGGACGTAAATCAATTTTTTTTTTTAAAAAATGATAATAATAAATAGCTAATCAAAACACAAAAAATGATCCCAGAAATCAAAGGTCAATAAACAAAGACCAGATAGATGCCCACAATTGGAATGAAAATACCGTTACCCTTGTTTATAAAATTCCCATTCATAAAGGGAACCATCATTAAACTCCAAGATAGTGTTATAATAACTTACAATGACCAGCCTTTAGATAGGCCTTCATTAGTTTGTCAACAGTTTTCTAGTTTACCCATTAAATCATTAGTTGAGTTGCAAGTGTTTTAATGAAAAAGAAATATTATTTTTCACAGATCAAATATGCAGGCTCACACCTGCTTAAATCTATATTTTTAAAAGAGGAGGTTTTCTTATCAGTTCCCTTGGAGAATTAACTGGTTATTGTCTTTTCCCATCATTCCTGCGATGACAGCAAACCCAATATTTCAAAGCTATTCTTTTCAAATTTAACTGATAACTGTCATAAAGGATAAGGGGGGAGGCTGTGATTGAATGTTGGAGTTATTTGTGTGTACTCTATGCAATCAAGACTTAATCAAGTTATATCTATATATCTCTATCTCTATCTATCTATCTATCTATCTATCTATCTATCTATCTATCTATCTATGGTATTCAGCTTTGTTCAGGTATTTTCCCATGTCATTGTAGTTGTGCTTTTAAAAGCACAACTACAATGACGTGGGAAAATATCCGAACAAAGCTGAATACCATACATGTAAGTACCCGCGAAAACTTAAGAATACACACACACACACACACACACACACACACATTATTCTGACAATGTAATGACTGCTTTGTTCATGGAATCTAGGATACATATTCTATCCTGTGTGTTTTTCCGACTCTTTTTTTTTAAACCAGATTCTTTAGGAAAATCAAGGTTTCTATTCATTCTGGAGTACAATGTGTTCCTAAGTTCTTCTATTATTAGTTTTACTTGTGAGTCCCTGCTAATGGAAAAAGCATACTCCTTAAATATGCAAAGAAAACCAACGTGGCAGAAATAATTTTAGAAAGTATTAGGCTATGACGTTCAGGACCGAAGGAGCATTGACCCTGTCCTCAGGCAAAAAACCCAAAACATAATTCTAAAACTCCTATGAATTTTTTTTAAACCCTAAAATGAAAAATAATATCAGCACTCAGAATTATTTAACGTTTTAAGCATGGGAACCCACAGATCACTTGGCTTTTAATTGAGTCATCAATTAGTTAATATTTATTTGCTGCATTGTACCACACCAACCACAGGGGGATTCACAGTTTACAAAAACTGTACATTCCATGAAAAAAAAACAACAACACTCAAACAAACTCACTTCTGACCAGGCATTTATAGCAGCAACATGGAATGGTGCGTTGGGCTAGAGGTGGAGCTCTTGCCTCACAATCAGGCGGTTGTCAGTTCGATCCTAGGTTAGAGGCAGATATTTTTTTCTGGGCGCAATGAGAATCTAACTGTTGTATAAAATTCCTCATTGGCGACAGGAAAGGCATCTGGCCAGTAAACACTCCGCTCCATTCAGTTGCCCAGAGTCCACCCCACAAGGGATTATGGGGTCATTAAAAGGAGATGATGATTTGTAGCAGCAACAAAGAAGACCCTTGTTATCGCGAAGACCTATTTTGATATCTCCTAGTGTTTCACAACCTTAGGAACTTTAAGATGTGTACATTTCAGCTCCCAGAATTCCTCTGCTAGCAAGCTAGGCTGGCTGGGGAATTCTGGGAGTGGAAGTCCACCCATCTTAAAGTCCCTGAGGTTCAGAAACACTGGTCTAGAGGTTCAGAGCTCATTCTGAGCTAGCCTGCTTGATTTTTTTCCCCCTTCTCTTGTTTACTGAATAAAGGAGAAGGGGTGGGAATTTTCACGTAGCTTCAAAGCTTTTCTTACTCTGAAAGTCTCAGAGTTTCGATTCCCACCCTGGTCAAAGTCAAGCCTTGCAGTCTCCTGACCATAACAGGGCCATGAAGTCATGGTGACAGGGTTGATAAAAACTGTATGGTAGTTGGGAGCTTCCACGTGGAAACTAGCACTGAGTACTGTGGGAAAACTGACTGCCCACGGAGTATCTCTGCTGTCATTATTAAGGAGCTCCTGGCAGCTTATAAGAGTGTCGTTTTGCTTGGTATGTATGCTTTTTATGTTACTGTAAGCTTTTAACTCTGTTTGCTTGAGTTAACAATAAAGACAAATAGCTGTCTTAGTCTCTTCTTAAAAACCTCCAGTGATGGAGCATTCTGTGAGCAACCCATTCTACTGGTTGATTATTCTCACTGTCAGAAAGTTTCTCCTTATTTCCAGGTTGAATCTCTCCTTGTTTAGTTTCCATCCATTATTCCTTGTCTGGCCTTCAGTTGCTTTGGAGAATAGCTTGACCCCTTCTTCCTCTCTCTGGCAGCCCCTCAAATATTGGAAGACCGCTATCATGTCTCCCCTGGTCCTTCTCTTCACTAGGCTAGCCCTGCCCAGTTCCTGCAACCGTTCTTCATATGTTTTAGTCTCCAGTCCCCTAATCATCTTGATTGCTCTTCTCTGCACTCTTTCCAGAGTCTCAACATCCCTTTTATATCGTGGTGACCAAAATTGGATGCACAATTCCAAGTCTGGCCTTACCAAGGCTTTATAAAGCACCTGTCAGGATTCCGGCAGTTGCCCCAATTAAATCATGAGTTTCGAGCCAAACTTCCAAAACCAAAACAGGATTTATTGGGAGTCAACATGTCAGCACTGCCGACTCGGAGACACATAATTCACTGTCACCCTTGACCCTGGTTTCCCCCCACCCCTTTGGGTGTATCGTAATTGATATTCTTCAATGGGATACATCCATAGCCAAGAGTCATCAATCATGTTCTCCAATTAGATTTTTGTGGGGCAGAAACTTCAATCACCTACTTATAATCTCTGAGAAACTATGCATGGAATGCACTTTCGATTCCAAGCTCTTTCGAACTCCTTTCTGTTGGCAACTATAAAAGAGCCACGAAAAATGTTTTATGAGTTGACAGCAGTAGTAACACTTCTTGAGACCTTGATTCTCTTTTTTAATGCAGCCTAGGATTGCATTGGCTTTTTTGGCAGCTGCAGCACAGCATAACAGGCCAAAGCATAAATCCCCTTTGTTTATCAATCTGCTTATTGTCTCTGGATGTAAAGGAACCAACTGTTCGGACCCAAGCCTCGTTCAAAGCAAACAAACACCAAACAGAGATAAAAGCAAAGCCTTTTTAATGCCGCTCTGTAAATTCCTTTCATTCACAGTAAAAACTCTATTAAAAACTAATTGTCCCAGATAAGAACAAGCCTTGCTAAGATTGTGCAAGGCGGCCAAGAACACTAGATTAAATTGCAAGGAAATATTCCAAACAAAAAGTCTTCAAACAAACTAAGATATTCCGAACGTCCATAAGGCTTGAAGCGCAAGAACTCCTTTGCTTCCTGCAAAGAACTGCAGTTTCTCAGCTGGCTTTTATCCATTAAGGGAGGGGCCATTACCTTGCAGCCTTACTCCCGAGTTGCCCGTGCTGCTGCAGCTGCTCTTTCCTTCGAGCAGCCCTGCACGCACACGCACTGGGCACAGGCTCCTCGGGGACCTCTTCATCACTGCTGCCAACCCCCACAAGCTCCAAAGACAGCACTCCACTCCCTGATGGTCCTGGTCCCATCCTTACATCACATGCAGGCTCCTCATCTGAATCCTTGCTCTCCAAGGCCTCAGCCGTTCACACCTGCTGCCAGTGAACCACAACACCAACTGCTGGGCAGCTGATCACTGCCCTGACCCAACAGCGTCTAGTAATCAACAACCTTGATCTTCATGCATGAAAAGCGCAGTGCTAATAATCTTTTGAAAAGAAAGGGGGCACCCACAGACCAGTGGAACAGCTTGCCACCAGAAGTTGTGGTTGCTCCATCCCTGGAAGCTTTTAAGAAGAGACTGGACAGTCACTTGTCCGGAATGGTATAGGGTCGCCTGCTTGAGCAGGGGGCTGGACTAGATGACCTCCAAGGTCCCTTCCAGCTTCTATTCTGATTCTGTCTAGAAAAGGGCACTCCAGAATAGCAGCATATTGTTCCTCAAACCCAGTATCCCCATTTGGAGGAAGAAAAAAAAAGACACTTACCGCACATGCTGTATTTTCACTGTCTGAAAGCCGTTGGTGCAGGTCAAACCAAAGGGTCTGTTGAGGGGAAAAAAAATCTCTCTCTATAAAAATGAAATACCACTCAGGCCTCATCACAAAATCTCCAGAACCATAAAGCCTACAAACGTGAAATTGGGCCTGTATGTTCCTCTTGGCTTCCAGGTGCTCACTAAGAAAGGAATTTTCGAAATGACCATCAGAGCATTTAGAGTATTTCCTATATTATTATTATTATTAACACGCTCTGATGCTAAGGAGTTCTACTCCCCCTCTCCACCTGAAAAGAAATCTGTCCCAAATGCAAAACACAAACAGAGGAGAGGAGTTTCAGTTTCAGTTTTAGTTTCACAGCACCAAGCAACTTTAGTATAGCACAGTTGAGCTAAGCCACGCCCAGGTTCCTTGCTGTCTCCTTGCTCACACAGCAAATACTGCTTCAGTCTCCAAACAGCCCTCAACTCTCTCACACACTGACAAGACGCTAGCCAGATGAATACCGATGGATGCTGGTAAGCAGAGGCAGATTTTCCCCCCTTATTTTCCTCCCCAAAAACTAAGCCCGACCACAGAGTTTTGTAGCAAAGCACGGGTATCAAGCTAGTCTCTCTCTCTCTCTCTCTCTCTCTGTGTGTGTGTGTGTGTGTGTGTTTAATATTTTCATGGAACTAAAACCTGGCAGGAGAGGGCAGAAAGAAAGCAGCTGGCTGGTAACTTCTGCCATGAAAACCCGAGGTGTAAATTAGGGATGAAGGGCTTTGGATCTAATCTACGTGATTGGCAGTAGACCAGGAAGGAATGTCTCTCTAATCTGCCAAATACTAAAACCGTGCAGCCTCCTTGGCTGAACTTCTGATGGAAAAGAAAGCTTCAGAGTTCCTTTTCCCTTGGGAAAATGCAACCATCTGCAACAAGGAGCTAGGCACTACGAAACTCTGGTAACTTTGTACAATTTTAGGTGGAGACATTTGCCTGGGGAAAAAAAATCTAGGCACACACCTGCTGTGATGGAAATCAGGAGGGAAAAAGGATCAGTATGGAAGATCATAGCCCTAATGCATTGCTAGAAAGAGAGAGACCAATGCAGATAATAAATCTCTGCCTCAACAGGAGATAATATTTGTAGATCAGGGGTGAAATGAAGGGTCCCTGGTGCATGCTGAGCTTGGTGGTTTTCACACAGACATTTTGTTACCAAACTAGGTAACATCATCAGTGTTGTTATTATTGCACTGATGATGTTACCTGAATGGGTAATGAAATGTCTGCAAGAAAACAACCAAGCTCAGGACCCCACAAAACTCTGACTTAAACACCTACTCAGGCAGGTGCTCTTGGATCTTGGAAGGATAGTTGCATATATATTTGATTCCAAACAGTTGTGAAAAAGTAAGCGTTGCCTGTGTCTCATTAAAGTAGCTATGCCATTTCCAGGATTATGTGGTTGCACACCCCAAAGTAACTTTTCAGACTCAAATCTGACACTTTACATTCCATAATGTTTCATAAAATAATTAACTTTGAGAACTGTGTGCAACAACATTTCATTTTAATGTACGTCTTATTAGTGTACGTTCAAAGTGACAATAAAGTTATTCTAAGTCTACACCTGACAGAACATACAGTATGTTGTATTTCTGCTTATGGTGTGTTTGGTGGTCTCTGAGCTTCTTGCAGACATTTCATCACCCAACTAGGCAATATCATCAGTACTAGAAGGGAGAGGGGTTTGGTCTCTGTTCATATAGAAGGAATCAAGGAACCACTAAGAATACTCCCACTGACACTGATAGCGCAAGCAGTTAAACAAAGAGTAAACCCTATTCCCTTCTAGCACTGATGATGTTCCCTAGTTGGGTAATGAAATGTCTGCAAGAAAACCACCAAGCTCAGAGTGCACCAAGGATCAAGTTCAATCCTGGATAACAAATACAGTATTCTCTTCTAGTTTCTGCTTGGTTAGTCTCTCTGATATATATGTAAAAACACATACCCATGCATACATTTTATGTGAGATTTTTCCACCTGGAAACTTCTATGTTTGGGCTACCATGCCTCAAATGACCTCTTCCCCTTCCTGATATGAACCCCAGAAAGGTGACTTTGTAAGTGGACAATTAATTAGAAAAATCCTAAAAAGATTCTTCGTTCTTTTCAAGACTTTCAAGGTGGATACGTCTTAGTTATCTGTGATGATATGTGTCAGAAATATGAATCTTTTGATCCTTTACAGAAAGTTTATCACCATTGTGTATGGTTGATTGATTATGTCCCATGGGCAGAGGGGTTGGACTAGAAGACATCTAAGTTCCCTACCAACCCTATTATTCTATGATCTAAATGGTTATTGACTTTTAGCAACTACGTAGATCAATTTTCTCCATGATAATTTGTCCCTAACCTGGTCTTTTTAGGTCTTCCAAAGTGCTCTCATTGAGACGGTCCATCCACCTTGATGCTGACTGCCCTATTCTTCTCTCTCCTTCCACCAACGTTATAGACTCTTGTGTTGACAAACTGATGGTATATGTGCTTTCATGTCACTATCAGTTCTTAGCCACGACATGGATAGATTTTTCTTAGAATAATGGAGTTGGAGGGGATCTTGGAGCAGTGGTGGGATTCAGTTTTTTTTTACTACTGGTTCTGTGGGCATGGCTTGGTGGGCGTGGCAGGGGAAGGATACTGCAAAATCCCCCATTCCCTCCCCACCCCACGGACCTGCTTTCCAGCTCCGTTCTCCTGCGCAGGGCAATCAAAGAAGATCCAGCCGATCAGCTGGGACTCGATGGGAGGCAGAGAAGAGATGGGGCCAGTCAGAGGTGGTATTTGCCGGTTCTCCAAACTACTCAAAATGTCCGCTCCCACTTCTCCAGAACTGGTTAGAACTGGCTGAATGCCACCTCTGGTTCTCACTGTCAGGAAATTCCTCCTTAGCGCTAAGTTGGATCTCTCTTTGATCAGTTTCCATCTTTTGATTCTTGTTCTGCCCTCAGGTGTGTTGGAAACCAGGTTCCTTCACGTCTCCCCATGGTGCACCCATCACTGCTACAACCGAGGCCAACAGCCTTGGCCAAGATTGTGGTCTTTTTGCCAACCTGTCACAAATGGGGAGGTGCCACTCCCTTTTAATTTTTTTGACTCCTTCCCATAGATACCCTTGGTTATCAAAATGCTTCAAGGGGGTCACATTTTACGGACCCTCGAGACGATCAAGTTCCTTCCAACCCTCTGGTTCTACTCATCTGATTTCTACTCTTTTCTACTCCTGCCAGGAAGGGCTATTTTTCCTCCAACAGGGGGAAAAAGCAGTTATTCCAAAAACAATTCTTCGAAATGTTAAAGTCCAAACCCCACAAATGTTAACTGATTTTTGTACTTTTTTTCTGTTTTTTAAAAAAAGAACCATCCTCTGTTACCTTGACAACTACTTTCCCAAAATAAAGTAAGCATAATCATTGCTTTATGGAGGTTACCCTTTCCCTCGAGTTGTTATGACAACATCAAAGGAAGAAATGTAAGATTTCAGTAACTGATTTTTCCCAGAGGGGCTACTCAGATTTAAAGGGTCTCGACGTGCGCACACACTCAACACAGGAAGAGGGAGAAGATAAAAAGTGTAGGAGGTGCCCAGGATGAGCCGGAGGGAGGGGTCAAATGGGCCACCAGCCTCAAGTCCCTTCAGGCCCACCAGAGACCTAATGTCATGCCCCTGTTGGAATCTGATTCTGAGGGGGAGGCCGAGCAGCTGACAGGGAGTGGGAGTGTGGCTCTGGTGGCTGTGGAAGAAACTGGGGAAGGGCAAAGTCCGGTTGGGCAGAGCAGGAGACAGGTAGAGCAAGGCAGAGGGAATTCAGAGGAAGACCCAGGCCCACCCCCTCTTCATCCTAGGGCACACAGGAGGAATGGAGAAGGGAGCAACATGAGTTGCATGGCTTATGGGGGAGGAAAGGGCCCTGATTCCCTTCATTAGCTGCAGCTGGGAAAACTATTTAAAAAGGCAAACTATGCACAGTAAAGTTGCTGGAAGCAAAGTGTGCATTATCTTTGTTTGTCACGTCTTATCTGGGTTCTGGCATCCTCCTAACTGCGTGTGTTTTGTTATCCTTTGAAGTCTGCAATTCCTTATCCTGCCCTGTGTTGTTAATTGCTGCAGCGTGGTTTGTGATGGTTTTTATTTATAATTTATATGTACTTTGGGTTTGGACTGAATTTCTTCCCTTTAAAGACTATTCTTGGGGGAATTTTTTCTCCAGCCGAAGGTAACTGGACATTGGGGGCCAAGTTGGAGGTACTAAAGGGACTTTACCTACTTTTGTGACCTTGTTGCTTTTGTGCCACGCCCCTTTGGGTCATCACACCTAAGTCCAGCCCTCCTTGAATTACTTTGGCTCTTATCTACGGCCAATTTACAGACAGATAACAGATAATCAGCGTTGGATTATCTATTATCTGCCTGTAAATTGGCTTTAGATATTTGCTTTGGCCATTAGTAGTTTAGATCCTTGTAGAGAGCTCAAGCTTGCAATAAACCTTTATATCCATTTTAAACTGCGTGGATTTCCTGATTTTCCTGCGCTTGACAGAAAATAGTTCTCCCCTTTCTTTTATTCCCATTTCCCTCTAAGACAGGGGTGTCAAACTCAAGGCCTGTGCTTAGATCTGGCCCACGGGGTCGGCCTGCGGTGCCTTTACAAAATGGGGCATTGGGGGAGCATGCACAGCCTGTTTTCGGCCTCCATGGCCTCCTGCAGCACCCTTGCAGAGTACTGCAAGAGGTGTCTGTCCTGTCTCCCCACCTGCTCCCCCCCCGACCAGCCTGTGGAGGAGAACCACACAGAGGTAGCATTCAGCCAGTTCTGGCCAGTTCTGGAGAACTGGTAGAGGACATTTTGAGTAGTTGGGAGAACTGGCCAATCCCACCTCTGACTGGCTCACCCCCATCTCTTCTCTGCCTCCCATCAAGTCCCAGCTGATCGGCTGGGTCTCCTTTGGTTGCCCTGCCCAGGGGAACAGAGCTGGAAAGCAGGTTGGTGGGGTGGGGAGGAAATGGGGATTTTGCAGTAACCTTCTCCTGCTACGCCCACCAAGCCACGCCCACCAAGCCACGCCCACAGAACTGGTAGTAAACATTTCTGAATCCCGCCACTGGTTTTAATGTTCCTTCTACCTTTCTTTATTACGTTTCTTTGTAGGATTAATCAGTGGGGTGACTTCCTTTCAGAGGTTGTGTGTGATCCATCACTGGAGGTTTTCCACAAGAGCCCGGACAGCCATTTGCTCAGATGGCATAAGGCAGGGATGTCCAACTTGGTAATTTAAAGACCTGTGGACTTCAATTCCCAGAATTCCCTAGCCAACATGGCTGGCCAGGGAATTCTGGGATTTGAAGTCTACAAGTCTTAAATTTGCCAATGTTGGATATCCCTGGGAGACAGTCTCCTGCCTGAGCAGAGGCCTAGAAGACTTCCAAGCAGAGGTGGTCTTCAGCCGGTTCTGACCAGTTCTGGAGAACTGGTAGCAGACATTCTGAGTTGTTCAGAGAACCGGCCAATCCCACCTCTGACTGGCCCTGCCAACCCATCTCTTCTCTGCCTCCCATTGAGTCCCAGCTGATTGGCTGGGTCTTCTTTGGTTGCCCTGCCCAGGAGAACAGAGCTGGAAAGCAGGCTAGTAGGCTAGGGAGGGAATGGGGAGTTTGCAGTAACCTTCCCCTGCCACGCCCACCAAGCCACGCCCACAGAACCGGTAATAAAAATTTTTGAATACCACCACTGGAACTACAATGCTGATCTGACTCTCGAAGAAATCCAGTTTGACACCCCTGTTCTAAGACAACTCAAGTAACTGCAATTCCAAACTTATGAACATAGAATAATAGGGTTGGAAGGGGCCTTGGAGGTCTTCTAGTCCAACCCCCTGCTGGATCAGGAGACCCCATACCATTCTGGACAAATGGCTGTCCAGTCTCTTCTTAAAAGCCTCCAGTGTTGGAGCACCCACAACTTCTGAAGGCAAAGCTGTTCCACTGGTTAATTGTTCCCACTGTTAGGAAATTTCTCCTTAGTTCTACGTTGCTTCTCTCCTTGATTAGTTTCCACCCATTGTTTCTTGTCTTGCCCTCTGGTGCTTTGGAGAATAATTTGACCCCTTCTTCTTTGTGGCAGCCCCTCAAATACTGAAATACTGCTATCCTGTCCCCGCTAGTCCATCTTTTCCATGATTAGTTGTCACATCTCCCTGTCACATCTGCCTCCTTTTCCCACAACAACCACCCTGTGAGGTGGTTTGGGCTGAGAGAGAATGGCTGGCCTGAGGTCACCCAGCTTGGCTTTCATGGCTAAAGCAGGACTTGAACTCATCTCTTCCTTTCTAGCCTCGTTGGGGGGGATGGAATGGGAAATAATGGAAAAGATGCATCAGATGCCTTTTGTGCATGCATGGTGGAAGTTACACACGTGTAACAAAAGAGACGGAGCTTATGTCGTGTGTTAGGCTCATGCCATTTGGATGGAAGCGCTGGAGTCTGTGACTGCTTCTGCCTGTGGATTTAAAACAGCATTGAAACCTCGGCTTGGACACGTGAGAATCCCTACGGAGCTGTTTTTCCAAACTTGGCAACATTAAGATGTGTGATGTCAACTCCCAGAATTCCCCAGCCAGCAGAACTCCGCTTCTTTTCTACATTAGCACAACAAAGGCATATTACGCAGATGTGTTTCTCTGCATGGTGCTAAAAGCAGAGGGAATATAGAAAGGGCTTCTTTCAATAACTCTCAAAACTAGCCCCGAGCCATGAAAATTCTCATTATAATTACAGCTGCAAAAAAAAAAAAAACACCCCGGGGTGAAAGCAAATTCTTTGCACACGTAACAGATCAAAATGTAATAAAATCCCTTTGGCGATGTTTCAAGGCAAAAGATTCCCTCAGTGGGGAGAAAGACCCTTAAGTGGAAATACCAGGGTCAAGGGACTCTTGGAAAGAACACAGAACAACAGAATAACAGAGTTGGAAGGGACCTTGGAGGTCTTCTAGTCCAACCCCCCTACTCTGGCAGGAAATCCAAGACCATTTCAGACAATCTCTTCTTCAAATCTTCCCATAATGGAGACAAACAGCTTCAGGAGGCAAGTTGTTCTACTGATGAGTTGTTTGAATTGTCAGGAAATTTCTCCTTAGTTCTAGGTTGCTTCGCTCCTTGATTAGTTTCTACCCATTGCTTCTTCTCCTGCTTTATGGTGCTTTGCAGAATAGGGGGATCCCTTCTCTGTGGCAACCCCTGAGATATTGGAACACTCTAGCTGCAGCAGGGATGTCCAACCTTGTGGGCTTCAACTCCCAGAATCCCCTAAGGCAGCAGAGATTTGTGGACTTCAACTTTAAGACTTGTGGGCTTCAACTCCCAGAATCCCCTAAGGCAGCAGAGATTTGTGGACTTCAACTTTAAGACTTGTGGGCTTCAACTCCCAGAATCCCCTAGCCAGCAGAGTTGCCCTGAAATCATAAATATACGCCAGGTACCAAGTGCTTAAATTTAGATCACGTGACCATGGGGATATTGTAAAGAGCGGGAACCTTCCATAAGTCACTAAATGAACAGTTGTAAGCCAAGAGGTTACTGGTACTTGTGAATGCCTCTCTATGACATGGGAACTCCCTAATTTCTAAAAGAGGCAAACCAACTTCTGAAAAAGCCCAATTTGAATCGGATAAGTTTTTCATTCATGGCCGCTTCCTAAGTACCAAGTCTAAATGCTAAACTTTACAAAGCCTTAGTAGGCCACACTTGGAATACTGCATCCTGTTTTGATCACCCCAATATAAAAAGATGTTGAGACTCTAGTAAGAAGAGCAACAAAGATGATTAGGGGACTGGAGGCTAAAATATATGAAGAACGGTTGCAGGAATTGGGGATATCTAGTCTAGTGAAAAGAAGGACCAGGGGAGACATGATAGCAGTCTTCCAGTATTTGAGGGGCTGCCACAAAGATGAGGAGGCCAATCTATTGTCCAAAGCACCAGAAGGCAAGACAAGAAACAAAGGATGGAAACTAATCAAGGAGAGAAGACATCTAGAACTAAGGAGAAATTTCCTAATAATGAGTTATTCCAGTAGAATAACTTGTCTTAAGAAGTTGAGGGTGCACCATCACTGGAGGCTTTCAAGAAGAGCCTGGATAATCATTTGTCTGAAATGTGACATCTTGAGCCATGCTTGAGCAGGGTGTTGGACTAGATGACCTCCAAAGTTCTTTCCAGTTCTGTTATTCTATGTTCTACCATTGTTAAACGGAATTGTTCAGCCACATTTATTCTGGAACAATCTCATTGTTTGGATCCATCATAACCTGGTTTTTAGCTTGGGAAGATGGCAGGTAGGGAGGGCTGGATAAGAAATGAAGATAACGAATATCCATGGTGTGAATAATGCAGTGAAATTTTACTTTGTCTCTTCCATTATTCGAACTTGGCTCATCCATCTGAAGTAAATGCTGGAAGATTCAAGAACAGTGAAAGGACTGGTTGTTTTTTTCTTTCTTTCTCACTGTTCTTTCAACCCTGAGCTAAACAGGGTTGAATAATTTTCTCCTACATTAACTCTAAACTTTTCAGAAGGGAAACGAATGGAAGCTTGACAGAAAGTTGTGGCTCAGAGCGCAGCTAAATCGTTTGGAAGGAGAATAATAGAAAAGGCTTGGGTTGGCCAAGCCCCCCAAGGGGCACATAAAACTCAGGTACCCCATCCTCCTATTTTCACCCAATGGCCTAGAGAATGTCCACTCCAAAAGCATTACTTGAATGCTCGGGGTTGAACTGTGGAGTTCTTGATGCTTTCTGTTGTTTTCTTGAGGACGTTTCATTATCAAACTAAGTAACATCATCAGTATCGATAGAAGGGAATATTGGTAGCTCAGGACCGAACTGCGGGGTCCTTGCTGCTCTCCAAGCTTGGGAGTTTTCTTGCAGACATTTCATTACCAAACTAGGTAACAATATCAGTACCAATAGAAGAGAATATAGGTAGCTCAGAGTTGAACTGTGGGGTCCTTGCTGCTCTCTGAGCTTGGTGGTTTCCTCGGAGATGTTTTATTACCCAACTAGGTAACATTACTAATGCTGGAAGGGAGTAGGGATTGCTCTCATTTCATATACTAGTAGCTTCAGTGGTGGGATTCGAATGTTTTTACTACTGGTTGTGTGGGCGTGGCTTGGTGGGCGTGGCAGGGGAAGGAGGCTGTAAAATCTCCAGTCAGAGGGGGTATTTGCTGGTTCTCGAACTACTCAAAATTTCCACTACCGGTTCTTCAGAACTGGTCAGAACCTGCTGAATACTATTGACCTCACCCCTTTCCTAAGAGATCTGTAGGGGGCGTGCATAAGCGCACCATTGTGCCTACCGTCCCTGTCCTATTGTTTCTCTTATTCTTTTATTTTTCTTATATGTACCCATTTCATATATTAACAACTATGTATACACTTGTACTTATTATCTTGTAAACAATTGACAAATCAAATAAATAAATAAATAAAAATACCACCTCTGAGTGGCCCTATCAGTGGTGGTAGGAGTGTTATTGGTACTTATTGGGGTATTGATTGTCAGAGTATATTCATGAACTGGAATAGAGCATGGTAACAAGGTCAGCCAATGAATAGGCATAGCAACTAAGTCATGCAATGAGAACTGTTTGGAAACTGAAACTAGAAGTAGCCTAGGCATGGCTCTATATTAAGCTCTGCAGCTCTGAAGCTATGTTAAGCTCTGAGTCTGTCTATTGAAAATGAAACTGTTTCTCTCCTCTGTTTGCCTGCTGAACTAAAGTGAAACTGATGTATGTTTCTGAGCTCC